ATTCCAGTCGGATGGATGGAAATCGCTTGCTGACGACTGACCAGCACAGTCAGTTGCGAGTGTACTCAGCCGACTCTTTTGGTCTTGAGCGCATCATTCCACATCCTCATCGTACCTTCCAACACTTAACACAAATCAAGGTGACGAAATTCATTGAGAGAACTGCGTGTTTATACTGTACAATGTACTATACTGCAGTAAGCTTATTCAACTGTGACACTTCAGGTGGTATTCTTCTTGCGCTTTTAGCGAACTCCAGTTTAGGTACAGTATTTGTAGTGCTAGTTTCCAAACGTAAGTCGATGTACTGTATTAATGTGTCTTATTAGATTCTTTGAGAATGCTTTGTTTCTCCTGTGTTTTTCAAAGAAGATGCCTTCTACAGTGCAGGTCATACAATATTTTAATTTTTAAAATAGTCCGGATAATCTTATTTAAAGTTGGATTTTTAGAGGGGGTATTGTTTTAAATAAAAAAAAAGCCGTTTGGCACGCATCTTTGAGGCTTATGACGATGAGAATGTACCGCCTGGTTTTACAAGTCCTGGAAGAAGGTAAAGTTCGAAGACTTTACCACTTTTAATTTAAAGGCGAAATTAGAGAATCTCTCGAAAATGTGATTGTTAGATGGATTTAGACGACTGTGCCCTAGGGTATTTTTTCCGACTATAGTCTGGGAAATAAAAAGTCATTGAAGATCGTCCGTTACTGTATTTTTTTTTATCAATATTACAGGCATCGTGGCATCCCTTGTGTGACGTGATCGTGGTGGGTTGTTATCCAGATCCGAACTTGCCCATCCGGCAAGGAGAGAAAGGCGATGTTGAATTTTTCTCGGCGCGAACCGGAGAAGTTCTTCACCGTCTTTGGAATTATACTAACAAAGGAATCGTGAGCCTCACTGAGTTCAATTCGAATGGGACAAGTCTAATGATAGCTCAAGGTATAAATTTTATTTCATCGCCCCGCCACCCTCTTATATTACGGTTTATGGTTTTCAGGTTATCAAGTTCGCGTTGTCGGGGTCAAGTACCCGAAAAGTGTCAGATTCCCTCGAGAATCCGAATTTAAAGCCATGATGAAGTCTTCTCGTAAAGATGACAGCTCGGATTCTGATGGCGATGATCCTCCTCAAGAAAAACGTAAGCGCAACGTGACTAAGAAAAAACCTCCCGCTGGAAAATCTCGTGGTGCAGGAAGAGGAAAGAAGAAAGCGTGATTACTACGCGTTAATCCGGTGAGACTATTCAGTTGTTTTGATCGAATGGTGTTTTATAATTTGTCATTGATTCCATTGAGGATGGATGTGGAAATGTCATGTCCTTGAAACAAAAGCGTACGGGTTTTTTTCCACATTTTGCGCAAGAAGAAAAATGGAACTTATGAATCTGAAAATTTCTGTATGCATTTTCATTGTTCGTCAATTTGTTTGAGTGACAACTCTTTCGGATGTTTTTAATTACAATAAACTATCATTTCCAACGTTTGTTCGCGCGAATTCAAATTGATCCGTTGTTAAATAGACGGCGCCGGTGCCGTCTATTTAATCATGTTTTTAGTGAATTAGCGTGGACATTGGAACTACTAACATCTGATGAAGTTGCCACTTGCTTTCTACAATTGAAAAGCTTAGATTAGGAATGGAAAATGGTCAACCCTACAAAACTGCATCTCAATTTTAGCTCAACATAGTTGTAGCTAAATAGCTACATAGCTAAATTTCAATGGTAAGTAGTACTGTACTAAGAAATGCGAAGTTCACAGTAAATCCAGAACTTTACTTCGAAAAGTCTGATAATATACATCGAAGTAAAAAAATGATCAGTTTATTTGCAAAAAGGATTCCAAATTTAACAAAGGATTTTAATTTTTTATTCTATCAATTTGTTCAAAAAGTCAAACCCTTTTTGGAAAATGTAAACGAAATATCTTGATATTTTTTAAATATCTCTCCAGACTGCTACCAAGGAATTTCAAGCTCACTACCAGAACAAAAGGTAACATTATTTGAATTGCAGTTGAAGTACCAATCCTGTTCATCATCTTTGACTAAAAACTGGGGTAACATGAACCACCGTGTACTTCTATTTAAGTGTTCATGTCAACTTGGAGAGATTCAGGTCAAAGTTCTCTGGTGGTTTACAAAGATCAATCCCCCAATTCGAAGACTTCAAATATCATCCCCTTAGATAGAAGAATTGGAGGGAATTGTAATTCTGGACTTAAATGTGTTGACATAATCGCTGAAGCAAGGGTTCATTTTCCCAATTAGTCTTTCACAACACGTTAAATTAATTTTGTTGCGTTTCTCTTTCATGTGTTGAGAACTTATTAGCCAAAAGGAGAAAATTCAATCCTCAGAAAATTCAAATGATTTGATTTCAAATGATTTCTGCAAGTTAGAAAAGTTTTTATTCATTATTTCTAAGGTTATTCAGATGGGGGACTTGAAAAATTCAAATGAGAGAGGTATTTGGAGGTTTGAGGTTCAACTGTACTGGAAAATAGATTATGAAAAAATTTAAGCTAGATAGTTTTTCCCATTAAGGTAGCATTTAAAATTCATTATCCATAAAAAAGAAGCCAACAGGTTATTTCCTCCCCGCCAAAGAAAAATAATTTGTGGACCGATAATTTTTTCTGCATACAGTCAATATTCTGCGACATGGGTTTGGACTGAAAGAAAGCTGAAACTTACTTGGCCTGTTTATATGATCAATCATGCGCTTCTCGAGAATTTCCTGGACATTCGCCATCAAGTTCACTTGGACCTTCGAATCGGATTCCACACCACACACAATAATTATATAAAGTTCTCAAATATTCAGTGATTTCCATCAACTTTTCGCCATCTGACAATGTCTCTTCCTCCGATTCTTCTTCGTCTTGTACGTCAGTTTCATCAGGCGGTTTCAGTGGCCAAAACCACGGGATTCGAGGCTCTACCATGCCTGCCTCCACATCCTGTGTTCGGCAAGCCTTCTGTGCATTGCTCAAGTCTCTAGAAATTATTTTTTCGGCTAGAAGCTGACTTTTTTGAGATCGAAAATCTACCAGCATTTCTTCTCGCTTTGATGCTCGCTCTTGCATTTCGCTGATCAATTTCTCGTGTTTCTTGTTTTCCTCTTCCGGCTTCCCTAGTCCGAACCTGTTAGCTTTTACGATAGGCTTGATTGGTTCAGTGCGAGCATTCGGCTGTATTCCGAGGGCCTTGCCGGGTTCATAGCCCATCTTCGCGAGTAGCTGAAATCCTTTGTTAGTCGGTTCAATAGCTGTCGATAAACCTTTCTCTAGAGTTGTCACAGCTTCCCTGGCTTTCTCTTTCCTGTCAGGAGAAAAACATTGCTGATGAGTTATGCTACTACAGTAATTAGATAATGAGCACAAGACATAAATTATGGCGGCCTCGATTCACTCATGATTATTGTATGGCATTTAATGTTCGACATTTTGGGGAGTTGCGAACATCTTAATGGTAAAATATGCATCAAAAGAACTGCGATAGTGTAAATAAAGAGAATAATGCGTTCGGCGCAAGTGAACGCAACGGGTAATTCTTCAGGACAAATCTCGGTAATTGACTTTCACTAATGCAGTTGATAGAACAAATAACTCCAACAAAATCACCAATCCTCCCATGAAGCGCTATGAAAGCTAGTCGTGAAATGTCATACATGATCTTTTTCTCCTTTCATGGTCGAAAAACGTGGGATTGCACTAATTTTCCCTTGGATTATCTTCCTTCTTGAATTTTTTTTCCCTTTATTAAACACGAAGTCAGTGACTTATTAGTTAATTACTCTCCAAAGTACAAGATTATAATTTATTTTGGCTCAGAATGATGAGAGAAAAATTTTTTATTAGACCCAGCACGCAACATAAATCATCGCACGAAGCTTCTGAAATTTGAAGGAATAGTTTTGTTCTAATTACTGTGCTGTGTACAATTCTAAGGAGACGAATCAGGAAATACAGAATTGTGAATATCATACATTAATTAATTACAACTAATTTTTTAAACAATGCAAATATTCTCGAAAATCTTTGATTTTACTTCTAAACGATTAAACAAACTTCCATCTGCTTACTTAGCTTTCTTTGCTTTATCTTGCTCTTCTTTCGCCAGCTGTTGACGTTTCCATAGTTCTCTTTTCCGCTTCTCCGACTGAGGAGCATCACCGCGAATGTTTGTCGAGGAGCTGCTCGATGCTGCTGCTAGACACTGCTTCAAAATATCCTCTGAATCATAATCTTCATCGTCCGACATGGTCACGGGTTCCTTCGCGTCGGGTAAATGTATCACAGTATCAATGATAAATAAAACATGGAAATGCGTCAAGAAAGCAATAAGAAATAAATAATGGTTTCTTCGAGAACAACATCCGTTTCTTTCGACTAAAAAAAAACATATACTGCGTAGGAAAATTTGTAAAAGATTCAACCGTCACGCTGAAGAAAAAATGTACATCACAAAGCATTTCGTTTGACTGATCATATCTCTGGCGAGAGCCAAAGCGAGTCACGAAGAGCGGGGTTCAATTGTCACATATTCAGTACTCACTGAGCATCTTTTACATGGCATCACAACTATTTTCACATCTCACCAAAAACAGCCCGTCCAAGGAATAACTGAACAAAATACATGTATCTACACAGCTCTCGAAGTCATCGCATCATGCCCGAAATGTTGAGATGCAACGAAACGTCTTCAACTCTCGACACATCCGCAATGGAACTCGCATTCGAAATCCTTCCAATGGAGCTTCCTCCGGAATTAGGCTCCACGAATGACGCTTCATCAGAGAGCACAGACGGCTGACTGCGCCATGCGCATGGCTCTTTCAATTGATGCCGGCTAAAAAAATAAATTTAAAAAAGAACACTGATTATAATCTGAGCATAACTACAAAACAACGGAATGTTGACGCTCAGTGAGGAATTTCTGCTCGCGTTATCAATTTGTCATAGCCTTTTTCAGAGAACTAAAAATCCTCACAAACTGGGGCCGGTCTTCTGGCATCATTTCTAACATTTGCTGAAGGACAGAAGTTCTCGGTGTGATCAGCGAAACCCATAGTTGAATAAGAATCGGTATGAGGAAGTAGGGCCAATACAGGATAGGTAAGGATTTCTACGTTCAAAAAAAAGGCAGAAGTCTGGACAAAAAAATTCCTCTTCTCTTCAAATTTTGGAGCACATAGAAGTGCGATTACTGTACCTTCTTCCAGTTCTTCATACATGAACCCACTGTAACGTACAGTACGTCGAACTTTAGAAGTTGTATTAATACTTCACTCAGAATCACCTATGCTTCAAAGACGTGTATTTATAGGAAGTGAAGCCAATGCTGATCATTTTCGGGCAAATACCGTATTTACTCGAGTAAGACGCACACCCCTTTTTTAGTGACTTTAAAGCTGCGTTTTGAAATAAGAACACCCAAATTTGAATTTGGACCTGAATTCAATTTATTTGAAATTGTCTTCATAAAAATAAACTTCTCTGATGAAATTGATCTGAAATTTCCCTTTATGATTGAGTATAATGCACATTTAAACTTCTAAAAAAAATTTTTAAATGTATACCCACTCATGAAGCGCACTCCATTTTTTCGTTTCAATTTCGAGAAATAAGGTGCCCGTGGTACTCGAGTAAATACGGGTACAGTAATTTAGAATACAAGCTATATACTTTACTATAGTTCACCTAACAGAGTATCCAATCCCATCCTACTTCAAGTATGAATAATTCCCCAGGAGTATCTACACTCTACGAAACTTGCTGAGAACTTCAGCACTTTATTCTGAAGACAATCCTTTCCATCAGAGAATTGAAAGACATATTCGAATGAAAAATGCGTTCCACGCGTAAACCCACCTCGAACTCCTAACCAAGTGTCTTTTGGAAACACCCATGTAATCAGGAAATGAGTCGGATCTTTCGCAACCGAGAGCCGAAACTCTTCGAACGATCCCTTGCGGAGTCTTCGGTTCCACCAAATGGGAATCATCCAACGATAAGCCACGCGGCTGCGAACGTTTCCTCGCGCCAGATTTCGTTGTGACAAACAATTCCTTCCCGAATGAGCGCTCCACATTGTTGGCAGGATATTGCATCACGTGAGACGAAGACGAGTGAGACTGTCCGGTAATGGACGAAAGTTGGTTCGATTGGTAACCCGTGTCGTCTATTCCAAAGGAGGCCTCAGTTTCGGCGTGACTCTATACAAATTTAAAGGAAAAAGGCAACAAATTTAAGAGGATTGGTTAAAAAGTTTCATCAGTCCTGTGCTTCCCTTAATCCAGTTTTGTTAGATCAACGTAGATGAAGTAATTTTTATGATTTCCCGACCACTCGTCCCATTTTCCCCCATGCGGAGAGAATACAAGAAGGTTAATCGCATTCTATCAATACGAAGAAATAAAGCTAACCTGTACCTGCCCCACTCGGATGTTTAAATAATCTGCAGACAGTCTGTGCGCTGCCAGATATTTTAAATAATGCAAAAATCTTGGCGGGTCTCTACTCCGACAGTCATCTTCAAATCGAAACAGTTTTTCTGATCGCTTCAATTTTTATGTGACTTTTGCTGAATGCATGGGTTGCTTTAAAATGTCTTTTTCCAGGAAAAAGTTGCCAAGATTAGGCGGTAATTAAACATAAAAATTGGAAAAAAGTAAAATAGCGCGTTTTTCGTCTTTTAATTGGTCTGACAGTAGTCTGGAAGATCCTGAAAACTAAACGAAGAATTCAATTTCGAAGTAATGTGGGTATTGAACATTCCTTTTGAAAACCGCGATAAAACGTTTCCAGCGCTTAATCGTCAGTTTGAACTCACTAAGAACAGGCGCGCATTAGCGTTTTCCTTGTTCCATTCTGAATCTCGCTTGGACTTCTCGCAGTCAAGCTGCCATTTGACGTTAACGTCTTGAATATTCGAATCACCGTCCATTTTTTCAATCGCATGATTGATTGGGCTAGCGTGATCATCATCATCTTCGACACGAATCGGAGAAAGATTTGGTTCATCAACTTCGAAAGCCGGTTTAATACTGGCTCGATGCTTCCGCGGAGTGCAGAATTCTCGCTCGAAAGAATCCTGCGAAAAATTTGAGACACAGTAACAACATTCCCTTGAAAATTAGTCAACGTACGCTGACCAGACACTAGACTCACATCATCGAACTGAACTCGACCTCGTTCACATCCGGCTTCAAGAGAAAACTCGTAGCCAGGCGAAACCATCTGCCACTGCGACGGCTTCAAGAAAGCATTTTCGTCGTCGTCGTCGTCATTTATTTTTTTTGAAGCCTGACCCGTCTGGTCTACGAAAGCTGGGCACATCAACCTAAAAAGGAGTCCACGAGTTAATTTTCCATTCTATGACAAATTTCACTGAAAAAATAATAATAATGTGGCTCTGGTTTCTGGCAAAGATGTCAGGATAGGAGCCGAGATTTCTCCAGAACCCAAAAGAAGAGAAGTCCAACAATTCGCAAGGCAAAATATTGGAACAAATTTGATCACAAGAATATCAAATTACTCCGAAGTCTTGTTTGAATTTGATAGTAATCCCAGGATTGTCATCGTAGATGTACGACCAGCACTGAATCTCGAAACGGAATACTTCGCAAGTTTCTTCTAGTTCAAGCTCAATCTCTTCCCAAAATGACATGCATTTAAATTCAAGGAATTCGGAACATCCGTTCGAGACAAAATCAGCGTCCCACTGATACCAATTCAAAGAAAAGTATACAGTTGAATCTTGATACAATACTGTAACTCGAACCTCCATAAGTCGATTTTGGTTTTCCAATTCCCCGTCTGAATTTTCTTGGAAACAACTCATGGAATACCCTCCTTAAGTCGAAAGCTTTCCCTCTCAAACCTCCATAACTCAAATTTTCTGCAGGTCTTTCGGCTATTATTTTTAGACGCAGAGAAGAGAAAAGCAATAAAAATGTAACTTGATGTGCTTTGAAAGGAAGTGAAAGATTGATCGGACAAATGAACCCTTGTGTCCAACTTCAGCATCTTGTTAAATCACTTTAAGAAGGAATTTCGCACCCAAAATATCACCAATTACAATTTCCTGTAATTCCTCTTGCTTTCACCCGACGAAATTGATCGGACAAATGAACCCTTGTGTCCAACTTCAGCATCTTGTTAAATCACTTTAAGAAGGAATTTCGCACCCAAAATATCACCAATTACAATTTCCTGTAATTCCTCTTGCTTTCACCCGACGAAAATGCTTGTTCCCCAAACTCGGATTTGTTTGCTGTTTCTCGAAGTACGACTTGAAGAGGTTCGACTGTGAAACGATTTCATACATTGTACTTGTTGAGAAAAGGAACTCACACTTCAGAGGAACTGTGGGAATTGTAACACCGGCGCTTTTCAAAGCTTTTCGGACTTGAAGAACGAACCACGAATCCCTTCTTGATCCACGCTTGAATGGGCGTACCACAAAATTTCGGCTTCTGCAAACGAAAATTACGATGAGTTGTTTTAGGAACAAAATAATGCTGAATTCAGAAACACAAACCGTATCGGTCGTGTCCTCCAAGCGGAATTCCTTCAAAGCTTCTTCAATTTCCATTGGCACATCAGCAACAGCCAAACTGAAATCCGTTTGCGTTCCAACTAAACCAAGAAGAATCCTTCCAGTTGAGGTAAAATACTGTACATCCAAATTTTTTTAAAATTACTTTTCAATTTTCCCCTGGAGCCTACTCTTTCCAAGACACACCAAGGTTTGCGTACCATCTACTAGGTTACCAAATAAAATAACACCATTTTCACATTTACTAAATTTCGTAAAAACGGACCAGAAAGACCTTCTGAAAATATTCTCTACAATAACATGAATAATTCATCATATCGAGATTTCCTTTCGGATGTGATGTAAGCATGTAACTCTGCAAAAATTCAAACTTGCACCAAAACCATTGCTTCGCACGCCTCAGAATATTGTAGGAATATGCTGTTTGCTAAAATTTCTTCATTAAACACGAGGATATACAGTACTGTACAATAAATAATTTCAAATACAGCATAAGCTGAAAAAGCAGGTATTCTAGCTTTGAACACAGAATTAGTGTATTTCATAAAATTGATTTCATCACCGATTAAAAAAGCTCAGTGCTTACGTTTTTGCATTATGAAAAATACCTAAATATATAAAAAGAACGGATTCTTATTCACCATGGCGTTCCATGTAAGACGCATATCTCAGAACGGCTTTTTCCCTGGAAATCACAGGCGTGGAATTCTTCGCAGATCCGGTATCGTTCCATTCAGAACCACTGTTGCCGGTCACAGAACAAGAAATTTTATCATACTGTACTTTGGTGTTACCGTATAAAACACAACAGTATATAGTACAGTACTGCACTTGCAATCTGAGAAAAGTACCTGTCCGAGAAATACTCCGCTCGAGTCTCCTCCAAGTTGACAGAAGAGAAATATTCGTTGCGCTCATCCTGAGCATTGGAAGATGCTTGTAAAACCTCATCCGCATTGTCGGAAGGTTCTTTAAAATCCAAACTTCGTGATTTACAGGAAATGCCTTGCGAACCATTTCCTGAATCCACTTCCAGAGCGGGTCCATTTTCTAACATCGTCGAATTGAAATTTGCTTTCCTGGACGGATGGAAGCTCACGAAGCTTTCATCATTGTTACAGTTTTTCGTAGTGACACATTTTTCTTCCAGATTTTCTTCCTTGTTCTCAACTTCAGCTCCGCACTCTTCCTCTTTCTCAGGTTCATCTTAAAACAAGAAGCAAATCGTGAGAAATTATAAGTTTTTTGAACAGAGCTTCGAGAAGTTTATCATTGATCCGACGGCAATTTCAGACATTCTCCCACAATTAATAAACCATCAACGAATTTCCAAAACTTTCGGACGAACCCTCGTATAATTATTTCATTATGTAGATTTCCATAAATGTTGAAACCCCAGATGAAGCATACTTCGAAAATCGATCAAAATGTTTTTTTTTTAGTCACGACGAGGAAACCGCACTTCAACGATTCACGCGACTGAACGCAAAATTTCTCCTAGAAGAAGATTTGGCTGTATTTCTGTACTCACCCATGTGGCCAGAATCAACATCAAGCGGAATACTTGAAACGAATAATCTTCGTCGAGGATTTCCAGAAGCCTGCGACATGCTCGAATCATCCAACGTCGTATCATGACCCGAGAGTTCTCCGGACGATTCCTAAACGAAAATGCGAACAAAAAGCCTCGTCAGTTACCGACAGAAAATAAATTAAAAATGCAAATAAATCAAACTCACTAAACTCTCGACATGTACTCCCAGAGAGTAGGCACCGGAAAGCAAATGCGCACGATTTGGAGTAAGATCCTGAGGGGGAATCGAAATTTGCGTTTGTGTGCTCCCTGCAAACCAACGAACAAAAACGAAATTAAAAGAAAAAGAAACAAAAATTCAGTAATAAAAAACGTACTCGCGGTGAGATTCAGACGTTGGAATAGGATTGAACATGGTGATATTAATTCATGATCCGCCTTCGTTTCCGGACTCGGAGTCACAATGCAGTGGAACTTTTCAAAGTAAGCATCAATTTTTTCTTGGTACATGAGTTCAGATGGATCCTCGAGATCAGTTTCATCCGCAACAGCCGTAGAGACATCAATATTTACTGGACAAACTTCCGCTTGCTGCTCTACTGTCCACGTCGTCAACTAAATCAGGGAGAAAATTTGATAGTTCGAAACAATTGATTAAAAATGCAAGCGCGGAAAATTATAGAAATACGTTGCAATTGCAAAGAATACGAAAGCGTGTCTTCTCAAAAGTACAGTAATGCGGATCACCAGGAAGTTCTAATTGCATGCGAATGGAGTCCGGTGATGAATTTTCATCTACTGCATTTGTTCATTTCACAAAATTCCTCTCAATCAAGGGAAAGATCAAGTCTAGAAACAATAAAAAAATACTTCAGGGACCTGATGTTAACCTAAGCGGAGCATCAACAATAACTTACATTTTCGTGCGTGATTCCTTTAATTTTTACTGGCGTTCTTCCAAGACTTAGTTACAACTTCTGCACGGATTCTTGGCTGTCTTCCTTAAGGGCGTTGTTGTCAGAAGTCTCTTGTTTTATCGGTAGAGTACTTCACATTCACACACATTTCCGCTCTAAGATGTTTCATGGCGCTCAGCAGAAGTCGGAGATACTTGAAGCTTTTCTAATTTTAGGGCAGTTTTAGTAATTGACAGACATAATAGCAGGTCATATAAATTGAGCTCATGTGCGGCAGGAAATCCTCTTGTCGCACTAAAAATTTTTTTTGAAATTATTCGTTTTTCATTCTATGATTTGCGGAACGGGATGAAGGATACAACAATATGAATCACGTTTGTTCCAACTTCCAAGTAAAAAGAGGATTTGGTAAGAATTTTGAGAAACCCCACGAACGTTCGCAATTACTCACAATTTCCTCTTCCGGACTGACAACATTGTCAAAAATCGCTGGACTGACGAACGGCCTGCCAATCAACGGAAGGAAATGTTCGTCAAAAGGGTTGTTCGACCCGCGCAAGATCGAAGAATCCAGAGATGAAGATGAACGTCGGCGTCGACGCAGAATCGGTGACGAGAAGGCATCGTCGAGACAGTAGTAGATCCTTTGATCGGTTTTCAAGTATCGAACGTAGGACGTGGACTTGACGACGCGACAATCGTCAAACCGGGAAGAACAGTCCGGTGAGGACAAGGATGTCGGTCGCGGGTGATCAGAATATCGATTACGAGAACTGTGATCTACGATGAGTTTCGAATGAAAAGAACTTTCGGCCTGGGTTAACACAAATCCTTGGCGTCGACACCGCGATCCTGTATCACTGCCACCTTCTGCCATTCGCGCGTTTTAATAAGACAAATTCAACGCGATTTCAACTCCCGCTTCTCCCCTCACCTGAGAAATATTACCAAAACATATAATGTATCGAAAACTTCTCTTATTGATCTCCGTATGAACACCAATACCCATCAACAACCGGTTTTCGCCCACTACGAACATTCGAAAACTAATCCGGTCACTTTAAAACCTGATTTAAATAAATACGAATACTATGCACCGTTCATCCTCCGGAACCAACCATACACCTTTCTTCGAAATATTCCTGCGGATTCAGCTCAGTTTTTCATATGCATAAATTAATTCCACGAAGAAAGCCCTTCATAAAAAGATACAGTAGACTTTAGGGCACTATTTCTCACCGCGACTCACATAAAAATTAGAGGACGGTTGCAGATTTAAAGAATTATCGAAGTTTCCGGAAACTTTTGTTTTTACGGTACTTATTTTGAAGATACGAACAGTACTACTCAAGATAAGTTCGACGCATGATCGGAATCAAACGCAGAAAGCTGACAATGCCAGGTGAAGAGGCAAAAAAGCGTCTGGCATCTTTTTCTTTTATCTGAGTAAACATTCAAAATGACAACGTAAGAAGAATATTGCCAGGAAGTTTCATATCAACTGGAAATACTTTTACTTGAAGAAAAAATTAGAACTTTCTTCGTCAATTTTGAATGGTCATAAATTCTATTACGACGAGTGCGTCATTCAAAAATGTACATTTCATGACTGAACGCGTCAAGTAGTTTCTGACATATTGCGACAGAGTTGCCAGCAAACCTCTCATTTTGAGGGCTGAAAATTTAATGTTTTTCTCTAGATGAATGGCGGACCGTTTAAATATTCGAATGTTCATTGCGTTTCAAGAAAGCAGAAGTTTGCAAATGTTCGTGGCACCATCAGAGAGGAAAATGCGTTTGGAGTGGACCAGCATCGACCTATATTTTCATCATTCTCTTTGGGCAAGTACTTCCAAAATTTCTGCAGGACACAACCAAGAAACACGGAACGCGGGGTTTCCAAAACACGATTTTGATTTTTTTTTAAAAGCATGCCAGATCAACTCAAAACATGACTTACGAACGATTGCACACAAAGACCACAAGATTCCTACGTTTAGTTCGGACTCAATAATCCAAAACTATTGAAAAAGATTCCATTACGTCCTTTCAAAAGCACCGACTTCAATTCCAAATGCACGTAAAACAGAAATACCGGTACTTCGACAACCACAGTTTATTCCAAGCTTCCGAAAAAGAGTCATACAGTGACTAGTGAATAAAAGCCTCACACTCTTTCGTTGGCAGGTAACCCAGCCTCGAACTATACAAAACCTGACTGCTCTTTGAACATTCTGTAAACGTCTTTGCAATACGAAAATTCGCACAGATCAGTTCAAGATCACTTCAGAGGTACAACAAAAAACTTCAGCCAAATTAATTTGCAAGCATGCAAAATTCAGCGTAAAGTTCGAAGTGTTAAAAAAAAAACTGAACCTAACCACGCAAATCTTGCGATAAAAAAAAATTACTCTTGGAAATGAAACATCTTCAGATAAAACTCATTACTCAGAGGTCCGAAGAATGATACGAGATAGGGGATAGTACGGTATTTCAAATTTATCTCCAATAATTGCGCGTTTAGAAGCAATAGTGAATGCTCCTGAACGTTTTTCAATTTTAGAGGAATTGCACTTAGAGTGAATTATAGCGTGCTCGGATGGCTACTGCACAGTGGGAAAAAAAAGTTTCGCTAAATTTTCCACGAAGGTGGTTTCACAAATAATATTGGTTTCAACTCAGCAAACGCTAGAAATGGCTCCTCGAGTATGATACTAAAGTAAAGACGCATCTGCGTCCCGAACGTAAAATAAAAAATCTGGTTCTTCACTTATCCCAAAAGATGAAATTTCTCACTGAACAATAACTTTTCGAGCACACTACAAAAAGCGCAATTCCATCCTTGAACTAATGACTCGGTTTTTTTTTTCGAATAAACCACAGGTGCAATTAACATGGAAAAAACCAAGCCTATTACCTGCCCACGCAGTTCAACTGTTTCACCTACACACCTCCACCAGATCGCGCTACAGAGGTCAAGCCCCTGTCACCGTCATCGTCAGTAGGGGCTTGTCGGGCGACGCATTCCAGCCGACTTGAGCCGGCGCCTCCAGACTTGATTGCGGCCATCATCTGGATTCAAGTTCAAAATGCATTATAAACTAAATACAGCACAGTATTATAGATTTAATTTCCTTCGGCTCATCACGAGACATTAAAGAATTAAACTTCATCAGGTTATTTTTAGAAGTCCACAGACTGACACAGTCAGTGTCTGACTTTTTGCTCGCAGTTCAGTCGTTGAAGTCGCTCGATTCCAGAATCAAAGCATTTCTCGAATTATCGTGTTAGCTTTTATCTTCGACTCTGAAATCTCACATGGAATATGAATTAGTGGAAAAATATTTCCTTCAATCACTCAATTGGTAACGAAGTCAGGTAAGCGGATTGTTTTTCGATCAGAAAGACAAAAACAATATTACAGACAATTCTAAATTACCATAATTCTGCGTGAAATCTTCTGAAAAATGATAAAATTCGACTGCGTGCGGAAATCAAGACATCCCTCGAATTTGGGCGAGTCTGGGGATGTTTTTCAACCCCCCTCGCTAACACACGCAGAAATACAACGTCTCATGTATTTGATTGATTCTTCATCAGGCCGTTCCCCCGCCAATTTTCCCACACGAATAAACACGATAGGAAAAATTCAAAAATTTTAAAATAGAGGCGGACTTATTCAACAATTCATACCTGAAGGTACTCGTCCAATTCAATCAAACCGTTCTGATTCAAATCTGCTTCGCGGATAAGAGCTTGCAAGAGCTCAGCGGAGTATCGCTTTCCTTCTTCACGCTATTAAGCGAAAATAGTAATAATATGAAGAACGGTAACTTACCCTGAGGAATTCGTTCAATTGAATTTGCCCAGGTTTAGCGATGTCTACTTCAGAAAGCAGATCATGCACCAGAACTGTACATCCGTCCAATCGGTCAGTCTACAGCATTTTTGCAATAGCACAACCGAGCCCCCGAAAGCCCAGATGACGCAAACATGCGGACAGACGGAGAGAGAAAGAGAGCAAGAAGCCAAAAGGAAGTAAGAAACAGAAGGATAAGATAAAATAACCATACAAAGAACCACTGTACAAAACTAGCATTAGAAACCACAAGTAAGCGACGTCACCAAAGATCAAACGAGAGAAAATACCAGATCCCAAAGCGATAAAGCTGTGATGAAATCAATCGGATTTTCGAACTTACCTTGAGGCTTAATCGCAGATCGTTCACTGAAATAAAACCTTTGTTCTCCTTGTCCAACTGCTGAATAGCAAACTACATGAACGAGTATAGAAGGAAGCAGTTTAATTAGCTGTGAAAGAGTGCTGAAAGGAACAAGTACAAAGGAGGGTAGAGACTTAGGTTCTTGAGGAAGCGAACAAGTTTAACAAAGACCACAAAAAATTGAAATAAAATATTGAGAGAAAATACTGTAAGGCGATCGAAAGAGTCGCACCTTTTTTTCGGCAGCGTTCCAGTTAAGTTCCTCGGCCATTATATCAATCACACGAGGTAGGCACTCCTCTGCGGCTTGAACATTCAGAAAAGCTAGTCGCAAGCGGCGTCCAATTACGTCAACTGCAGTGCACGCATATTCACGAACCGCGTAACGAACCTGGTTAAAAAATTAATAAAATTGGGAAAAAGTGTATCAGTAAGTGCAGTAAAATGAAATGAACTTTCCACGATATGTACACTACTGGTGCAAGCAAAACTAAAGTAAAACTGGGTCTAGTGAATCAGATGTTTATTAAAATAAAAGAGCAGGCTTTCTGTTTTTCAGCTAGTCACTCAAAACTGGGTTTAACAATGACCGTGCTATGAAAGCAGTTTATACATATAATAGAAAACATTATTCCAAGAGAAACGAAACAATGAAACAGGTGGTCTCTCTCAGCAACGAGTTTGTTTCCAAAG